TATGCCCCCAAATTCTTTACAAGTGAGCCAAGGGACACGGAGAAATAAAAAGCAAAACAAGCCGCTTCAGCTGAGAGACCAGTTTGGAGGATACCATTTTACAGCAGCAACAGCAGGTAGATAATGCCTCCAAAATGGCAACTCCTGCTCACCTTGGAGCTAAAAAGCATAGAGTGCATCCTTTTCTCCCACCAAAGCCTTTAAAACCGAGGTTCGGATCCTCTGACCCAGCTAAACTGCTCAACTGAGGACCAGAGGAGGCAGGAAAGCTGCTATTACATCTCTCTGATCTTAAGGGTTGCCTCAGGGCTGCTCTAAAATGACGTCTGAAGCCCAAGGAGCTTTTCCAGCAGGTGGAGATAACTGCAGAGTAAAAGTTCTCCCTTTACAGCCTAGAAGAGTGATCCAGAGATGGTGGTGCAAGCTGGAAACACAGGAGACTGATTTAGTTCCCTTCTCCCCTAGGCATCCTTTATGACTGGGAAAACTACTTAAGGATGAGGCTCAGTGATACTTAGGCACCTAACTCCTAATGATTTCCATGGGAGTTCACAGATGTTAGGGCTGGAAGGGGCCTTGCAAATCATCAGGTCCAGGTCCAGGCCCTGCCCAAGGGGCAGGAAGTCAGCGGGGGTCAGATCACCCCAGCAAGATAAGCATCCAAGCATTTCTTAAAGGTATCCCAAGTAGGTGCTTACACCATTCCAGACTTTGGAGACTTGGACAGTAAAGAAGTTTATCCTTATGTCCAGGCTAAAACGGTCTTCCAGCAGTTTGTGACCATTAGACCTTGTCTTCCCTTGGGGTGCCTTGGGGAACAGACCTTCTCCCAGATGCTGATGCACGCCCCTGATGTACTTACAGGCAGCCACCAAGTCCCCCCTGAGCCTTCTCTTCTCCAGGCTGAGGAGTCCCATGGTTCTCAGCCTCTCTTCATAGGGCCTGTTCTCTTGGCCTCTAATCGTGCATGTGGCTCTCCTCTGGGCTCTCTCAAGCTTCTTCATGTCCTTTCTAAAAGGTGGAGCCCAGAACTGGATGCACTACTCCAGCTGCGGCCTCACCAAGGCCGAGTAAAGTGGGAGGATGACTTTGTGGGTCTTGCTTGAGATGCATTGATAGATACAAGCCAGAATTTTATTTTCTTTGCCAGCCACAGCATCACGATGGTGGCTCATGTTCATTTTGTGGTCAGTCGAGACCCCCAAGTCTCTTTCGATCATGGTGCTAATGAGTGTAGCACTGCCACGCCTGTAAGTACGACGTGGGTGTTTTCTCCTGAGGTTGAGCACCTTGCATTTCTGTGTTGATTGTCATCAGGTTTTGATCCACCCACCTTGCAAGTCTGTCCAGGTTGGCCTGAGTTGCCAGCCTATCCTCTAGCGTGACCACACTTCCCCGTAATGTGGAATCATCTGCAAACTTAGCCAGTCTGCTTCTGACACCTGAATCCAGATAATTTATGAATACATTAAAGAGTACTGGTCCGAGTAGTGAGCCCTGCCTGGGGGACGCCACTGGTCACCACGCATCATGTTGACTTGGTTCCAGTGACTATCACTCTCTGGGTCCAACCACGGACTCAGTTCCCCAGCCATCAGACTGTAAGGTTGTCAAGGTCATAGTTCCTCAATTATACCATGAGGCCATCATGGGAGACCAAATCAAAGGCTTTTCTGAAATCCAGCTAAATTACCTCAATCTCTTCTCCCTTGTGCAGGTGATTTGTCACCTGGTCATGGAAGGAAATGAGGTTGGTCAGGCAACACCTACCCACAGTGAAGCCATGTTGGCAATGGCTCTCTCAGAACGTTGCCTTCCAGTAGCTTGTTGTTGATGGATTCCTTGATATTTTTTTCCAAGATCTTTCCAGGGATTGAGGTCAAACGGATTCACCGGTAGTTCCCTGGATCTTCCTTCCTTTCTTGAAGATGGGCACCACGTTGGCCCGCTTTCAATCTTCTGGAACCTCTGCCGAGCGCCATGAGTTCTCAGATATCCTGGCCACTGAGCATGCTCTGGTGTCAACCAACTCTTTGAGCACTCTTGAGCGCGTTCCGTCCGGGCCAGCTGACTTGTGGATGTCCAGCCTCTCAAGCCATTCCCTCACAAGAGCTTCGCCAATAATAGGCATATGATCGCCCTTACCCTGGTAGTTCTGCATCCTGTCAGGCATCGTGATCTACTTGGGCTGGTGGAAAACTGCCGCATTATTGTTGAGGAGATTAGCTCTTTTCTGGGTGTCGGTTGTCAGTTGCCACATTTGGTTCAGCGGGGGTCCAATGCTGCCCTTGTTTTTTTCTCCAACTTCCCACGTATCTGAAGAATGACTTTTTATTGTCCTTGATTCCTGTAGTTGGTTTGAGTTCAGTTTGGGCCTTGGCTTTTAGTTCGGCACCAAACCGCATCTGCGTTTCAGTGTCTGTCCCCTCAGTTCCTGCTCGGTCAAAGGGAATGCTGTTTCCTTGTCTCACAAGTGTTCGGAGGAGAAATGCTTTCAAGATGTAAGATGCCCCATCAGTCCAGTCATGACTTGAGTTCCCCATAAACACCCATACCTCCAGGGCTGGGGCAGGGAGGGTGTGTCCAAGGCAGTGCCATGATGAGCACATTTAACTGCAACACCCAGATTTAGTTTTAGGCAAGAATGGGCATCTGCACTGCATCACTGGGTTACAGCAGCCCTGGAAGTGCCCCTCTGCCAGACTGGGTTTCCCGCCAGTCCAAGGGATTCACATCCCACGCCAAGCCATCTATTTACATTTGCTGTTTGCATCTGCCGTTAGAGATATCAAGCAAGTCTCCGAAAGAGGATTTTTGCATTTATGTGGTGCACCACATTCATTCCTCCTGAGCAGTCTGGCTTAGAAGTGATTCAGGGAAGGAGAGGTCTGGAAGACAACAGAGAAGGAGGGAGAGTGCTCTGTGTTCATGAGGGGAATGCAGGGATAGCAATTAGGGTTAGCAAAGGGCTTCCTGCCAACATACTTACAACAACAAGTTGCTAGTTCTGTAGCTTAAGTAATCCTTCTTGTGGCACTCATAGCTCAGTGCAAATCATGCTGCTGCTCTGCTAATTCATGGCACCACGCACACAGAGCAGCCATGACTGTAGGCTGGAACTGCATGTAGAGCTGTTGTTTTATCTTCAGGACTGGGGCCTGGCTGGGCTTGGTTTTCCTCAACCCCACCGACTGCAGTAGGAGCACACTGATAATCAGGCCTTCAGTATTTTAAGTTGGACACTGAAAATTAGTGGGTACGTCTGAGAATTGGGGCAGGACACTCCTAGGAAGGAAACAATGAAGATATGGACTCCTCTAGCACCAGAAGACACAAACAGCCTGAACTATGTGGCCTAGCACTGTGGTTTACAAGCTCTGCAAATACTGGAGGGGAAACAATTTTTCCTAATATGTCAATGTGCCTTAGGTGCTCTTGCAGTATCTGGTGCTGCAGATTTGCAGTGACGAGCACTGCATCGATTGTGTTGCTTTGAAAACGCCAGCCTCGGTGTTCTCTATGCAGCCTTGAAACATCCCACAAAGTATCCTATATACCATCAGAAACCCCAGCGGGAGGAAGTCCTCTCCTCTGTGGGCATCAGGCTAAACTCTGGGCAAATGCTGCTCGCCTGAAATAGGCAGAGAGAAACAAAAGGCAAAAAGGAGCACAGTGTTGGACCCGGCCCCAGCCCAGCACACGCACATGCACATGCACATGCAGTTGAACCAGACCTTCCTGTTAAAGGACTGAGGGTGAATTTGGCGAGAGAGTTTGCTCTGGTGACGCATGGGTCAGGCCTGGTGCTGGCAGAGGCTGCTTAAGTTTGTCGTGTGCAAGACAGCCAGGTTCTGACCCGAGACCCCAGACAGACCCTGCTGGGATTCCCGCCCTGGGCAGCCTGGTTCAAGAGTGCCGCGTGCCAGCACTCAGGAGCTGGCTGACATCTGCCCACAGTCACCATACCGAACCGCAGGTTTAGCGCGGTGCTGTATCCGTTCTCTATTTCAGAGCTTCCACTTCCGACAGTCACCTTGTAACAAGCCGAAACCCTAAAGAGATGCAGACATCTTATTTGCCAAGGGACTCTCACATGCTCTATGGGGAATATAAGTTTTTTCCCCAAAACTGGAAATATATCCACTAACCTAATATCTCTGCTGATAAGGACTGTACCATTTCTGACAGCAAATTCAGGACTGGGAGTTCTACTCCTTCAAGGGTCCCTGAAGTGCATAATAATGGTATCGGTTTTAATTCCTTGCATCTGTTTAAATGGCAGAGAAAGATCCTGGCAGGTAACACTAAACCCACAGCACATGTGGGCTCCACCCTGGAAGGCTGATCATTTCTATCCATAGACAAGTCAGTCTAACAGACGCCGCATTGCTTAAGCCTCCCTAATTACAAAATGCACTTATTCCTCATCCAAATTTACTTTCATCTCACTCAGCCCCTTTTGATTAGTGTTGACATCAGCAATTCTAAATCATTGCATTGTCTTTCCTAGGTACTTGCATCCAAAACCATTATATAATCCTCTGCGTGAGAGTCCAGGCAAATGAACTAGTTACCTGGAGGTGAGAGAGAGCAGGGCCTTACTTGACTTCAGCTTTCAATGTGCATAAGCTTACGCCAGAGAAGGCAAAAGTTAAACTGCAATAATTGAGCAAAGAGCGCACAGATTAGGTTTCATCTACCATAAAAGAAGAGCATGCACACAGATAATCACTGTGAAGCAGCTGCTGCCTGCTAAACCCCTATATCCCCTTTTACCTTGGGTAAGTCGTTCTGCCCATCCCCTGGGTTAATGAATGGTATCACCCGATTTCCTGCCATCCTACCTCTGCTGGGCTACATTTTTCCGTGGCAGTGTTGCACATAATAGGAGACCCAGGCTAGAAGCTGTGCAGTCATCTAGTTAATAAGGAAAAAAAATGAAGTGGTAAAATGTGCCCACAAGCACATGTCTTTATGAATCACTCTCTGGTTCTCTCCAGTGCCCGGAAATCTTGGCTGTTACAAGGACCATGGCAACCCACCTCCTCTGACTGGCACCAGCGAGACCTCCAATAAGCTCACCATCCAAACCTGCATCAGCTTCTGCCGGAGTCAGCAGTTCAAGGTGATTTCTCTGACCTCCACATATCAGACAGGTCTTTAAAACAGGACAGGCTGGCACGCAGGGAGACTTCTGCCGTGCTCGTGTTGTTTTCTCAAGTTCTTCTCCCTGGGAGCCCAGGGTCCTGCTACCCTGCACGCCGAGAGCCCAGCCTCACTCCCCCACTCATCCAAGATAACCAGGCCAAAAGCCCCCAGACGAGTGCACGGGCTGCCCAAAAGAAGCATGTCGGAGTTGCAAATGCGCCTGCATCTGCATTTCCCATAGGGGTGGCCGCAGGAAGCAGGGGTGGGGCCATGCCGCCCGTGTCCCCCACCCCTCCTCCCAGGCCCCACAGCTCACTCCTCTCTGCACAGCATCTTGTCCCACTTGTCCTGGGCCCCACATAATCGCACCCCTCCAAATGGTACACTCCTGCAGGCCCTACAACCTCTGGAGAGCACCTGTTAGCCTCCAGGTAGCATCCTCCCTGTCTGATGTCTCTCTGTTCTCTCAGTTCGCAGGCATGGAGTCCGGCTATGCCTGCTTCTGTGGGAATAATCCTGACTACTGGCGCTACGGGGAGGCTGTCAGCACAGAGTGCAACAGCGTCTGCTTTGGGGACCACACGCAGCCCTGTGGCGGCGACGGCAGAGTCATCCTCTTTGACAGTGAGTACGGAAATGGGCTGGCCCTCTAACGGGTAGGGAGTCGCATGCTCAGCGAGTCAGGGGAAGAGCATCCCAAGGACTCTGAACAATACCGCACACAAAACCATGAAGACCAGCAGTGGGGATCAGCTCAGGACAGCTGGGTCCAGACCTGCTCAGGACAACGAGAACACACATGCAGAGTGAAATACATGAACTTCACCCTAGTTTCACACCCCCATCGAGTCTAGAAGTGGGGTGGAGTAGCCCTTCTAGTTAACAATGCTTGGCCAGGCATGGTCCAGACGCTATCAGGCATTTTCCCACACCGTGATTGAAAGCAGGGTTTGCTCTGCATGGTCCTGAAGGGCACTTTCAGAACTGTCCCTAATTAAATCAGTGAATGTATACTTAAATTGAAGTGATGAGCCTCACCTAGAGATGAGACCCCCCTCAGATATGCAGGTATGAGTCTGCTCCCCCTCTGCTCTTCATAAAACGAAATTTCCTAAAGGCAGCAATCGGGGAAAAAGGATCCACTCTGTGTCTCCATCTGTAAAACAGAAAACAAATAGCACATCTGCCTCATAAAAGGGATGGTAAGGAATAACTAATGTGCATTAAGGGTTCTGAACTTGTGGGGCACTATATACATTTGAGTCACTGCTAAAAGAAGTGGGGAATCCAGCTGCAATGTGAATAGTGAGGATGCGGTAATAGTGCACTAGTTTGTAAACCTCCTCTCTTTCTCTCTCTCTCTCTCAAGTGCTTTGACATTTTAGTTTTAGCCTGAAACTTCTGGTGTTTGCGAAGAATTAGAGAGAGCCTGCGATAGTCTTTGGGAGCACTCACCATCAACACCACCTCTATTACCTGCATTTTAATATCTTTGCTAGGCTTCATTCTGTCAAGGGTTAAACCTAGATAAAAATCCAACTGAGATAAAATCTAGATAAAAATGCAAAACTGAGCATGAACTGGTCATTTCCACACAACAGCTTCTGGCCCAGTTATGCACAAGTAAAGTACTTTTGAAATAATGTAAGTCAGAGGCAGAGATGATGGGTAGTCACCGACTTCAGCATCATATGAGAGGTGATGCGCGGATGTCTTTGTGGATCAGCCAGTACACTTCCCCTGGACTCCCTTCTTTGCGGAGTCGGATGCGTACAGTAGGCTACGTCACTTGACAAAAGCTACAGCAGAGATCACTAGAGCAGCCTTTACAAAGAATAAAGGAGCTGAAACATTTCAAGCATTACTGCACGCAACACATTTGTCAGCATGTTTGGAACATCTCCGCTTCGTGTTTGAGGTGTCTGCAAATGATTCTGCAATAAGAAGTTATTCTTAACCATGCGACTCCAGTTCAGCATGTGCCACAAAGAATTCCAGGCAGATGTCTCCCAAATAAGCTTCTCCAATTATGTCTGCATTTCACAGCAGTCTTTAATGATACCTTATGAAAAAGAACAATGTTGAACGATGGAAGGGCTTGATGAGGCACAGAATCTGCTCCAGAAGAAGGAACACCATTTTGCCCGTTTCTTTAAAACATCTCCTTCCCAGCCTTATCTCCCTGGTTGTACACACGGGGTGGGGGCGGTGGGGGGGGTGTTACGGCACGTGTTGTCACATGACCAAGAAGAAAATGCTAAATTTCAAGAGAAGCAGAACGGGTACAACTGACAGTGGAAGGTCTCGCACCTACCTCCTATCTGCGCTCATTGCACTAGAGCGACAGACTCGAATCAAAGTACTTACCGGCTGTGGCTCAGCCGCCAGTGTTTTTAAGTGGGAATAATTGTTGCTGGTCATCTTTGCTTCTGAAGGCAAAATGAGAGAGGTCTTTTTAGGCCTTAACCCTCTTTTTGCATGAAACCAAAGCACTTAAAATTGTGATTGTTTTGAATTACTTAAGATTTTTTCATAAAGCTCTGGAAACATCCCCAAAGAGCAGCATTCTACCTAGTCTTCTGTCTTTCAGCCCATTGCACGGGGAAGCAATCATTCTGAGCAAGTCAGGTCCCTCCTGAAAATAAATGTTGCCTGTAATCTAGCAGAAGATGTATTCTTCACATCTGGAAAGCAAAGACCTTGTCTAGAAATGATTATTACATGGCTAATAGGATCCAGTACTGGACTGGTGAATGTGCTGTGCTATGAGGAAGATGCAGACTCCAGACTGCACAGACTTGGAGAAGCCTCTCTCCGCAGGTGCAAAATCCTGGGAAAGTGAAAAGACCACTTGGCTTTGTGCTGCCTGCTTTTGTCTCCGTCTGTTCAGAGTGATTTAAGGCACAGCACAGCTCCCCCACAGGATTCAGGATCTTGAATACACTGCTCTACTTTCATTTTTCTTAGCAAATTATCCTGAATTACAAGTGAAATGTTACCGAGTCATTCATCCTGCATTAGAGCCCATCAGGAATAAAGACCTGCCTCTGTCTTCATTCCTGGGGTGGGTCTGCTGTCAGGGAGGTACAGCAGGAACTCAGTCCCTTGGGAGGCATGCTGGTTTCACATATGGAAGGTTTTCTGTGGCGTCTGATCTGGCCTTAGCTCTGGCTGCGGAACAGTTTTCTTTAGAGTCTGTTACAGCCACTGGTTTACACCGCTGAGAACAGCGATGCCAGGGTCAGCCAGTTCTGAAACTCTAGACAGTAAAAAGAATGCAAGCAAAGTTTAAAAAAATACAACGATCTATTTAGAAGGCTTTATTGACAGGGAAGTTGTGAAATACCGTAGCCATCAGCAAGAGGCATTACTTCTCACTGCAATACACATCTCTCTAACAGGGAGAGGGAGGAATTCCTACACACGAATGGGGTGGCTCGTTGTGATCAGAGCACTGCAGGCTGTGCCACAATGGGGGAAGCGAGAGCACAAAGTGCTGGGCACAGCTGCACAAAGAGCCAGGGACAGTCCTAGCCCAGACTAAAACAAGACAGGTTGATGGGTTTAGTCTCCCGTGACTGGAGCATGCATTGCACGCTGGAAAAGAGCAACACAAGGGCCCTGTTACGAGGGGCTCCGACAGGAAACGTATCCCCTGTGGTGGCACAGCATCTCCAGAGGTTCCCACTGAAATGATGCAGCTCCTGTGCCCAGTGCAGGTCTGCACAATTGAGCCGCTAACATCAGCGGAGCAGAGCTTGGGCATCGCCCAACATGGAACATGCTACAGAAGCACAATCTGTGTACACTGATTTTTCATTTCTCCATTTTCTTCTCTCCTTTTTACAGCACTTATTGGTGCCTGTGGAGGGAACTACACTGCTCCGACATCAGTGATCTATTCCCCAGATTTCCCCGACGTGTATGGCACAGGCAGGGTCTGCTACTGGACCATACAAGTTCCAGGGGCATCTCAGATCCATTTCAGCTTCGCTCTCTTTGACATCAAGGACTCAGCAGACATGGTGGAGGTGCTGGATGGCTACACGTACCATGTGCTGGCCCGTTTTGACAGCAGGAACCAGCCTCCCCTTTCTTTCAACGTCTCTTTGGACTTTGTCATTCTGTATTTCTTCTCAGACCAGATAAATCAGGCCCAGGGATTTGCTGTCAGGTACACAGGTAAGAACCAGCTACTTGATCCCTTGCTCTTGAGATGCTTAGTCTACACAGCATACTTGTGCAGGCACAGCAAGAGCATGCATCTGAGCTCCTCCTGCAAATAGTTTCATAGTTTCTAGGGTCGGAAGGGACCTGGGCAGATCATCTAGTCCGCCCCCCTGCCATGGCAGG